GCTTTCAAGGGGGGGCGCGCCGAAGCAATGACTCTTCTTTCAGGGGCATTTTTAAAAAAATTACCCGCCCTGCCACGAATCTTTTTTTTAATATGTGGAACTAAATACAACACACACACACACACACACACCCACACAAAGCACACACACACACACAAAGCACACACACACACACACACACGCACAAAGCACACACAAAGCACTCACACACACACACACAAAGCACACACACACACAAAGCACACACAAAGCACACACACACACACACACACACACACACACACACACACAAAGCACTCACTTTGACGCGCCAATCAAAGGCGATGAGGCGTGTTGTAAAACTGCTGGCGAGGTTGAGCGGCGACACATCGTCTCGTGTGGAGGAAATGCGGTCCACATTCAGCAATTGCCGAAACACATGCGCAGCGCCATCGCGCACAGCCTGGAGATACCACGTTGGAGAGAAAGCAAGACGGGTAGGACAGGTGAAGGTGGTGTTGGTGAGTGGGTGGCAAAATGAGTGATAGGGTGAGTGAACTAGAGAGAGCAGGTGGGAATGGAAGGTGGGCAGAATGTACAACACCGCAAACAAAAAAAAAACCAAAGGACGGGTGTGCATGCATGATGCGCGCATGCGAACACATTACACATGACACCGCACACGACAACCCAAAACATAACCACACAGCAGCCATGCAACGCATGAAGCGCAACTGACTTCGATGGGATCTTCCCAGTCACGGAACAGCGTCGCCTCGAGGAAGTGCACGAGCGAGGGCGCACCCGTGTGTGCACGGAGTGCCCCTGTCATGGAACGTGAACGACACATGGCAAGCAGAAATGCATTGATGACGGTTGGCACACAAACAGTATGAGTGGGATAGTTTGTGTCTGCGCGAGCGCACGTGTGCGTGTATTCGAGTGCGTGCCAGTACTCTTACACGTGCGTGCATGCATGTGCTTGACGTGTGTTTGGGCGGCAGGGCGGCTGAACGGACGGACTGCGCAGACGCACGTCTCGTTTCGTGTCATCATCGCACACACTCACACAGAGAGGTTCAAGTTCACCACCCACACCTTGGGAGAAGATAACGTGTGGAAACTGCTCTGCTGCTGTTGCCAGGGTTGTGGACCATGCCCGAAACACGTTGTACACGGAGTGCCGCAGGCTCTCACTCACGTGCGAGTGTGACAGTGTCGACACAAACGGCAACAGAACATCAAGCAGCAACACACCCTCACATGCTTGCCCTACCAGGAGCCATGAGGAGCGAAAGGGGAGGCAAGAAGAGCGAAAGGGTAAGTAAAGGTGAGCTGAACCCACAACAAGGCATACACACACACATACATACATACATACATACATACATACAAACATACATACATACATACATACATACACAGTACCTGTGATGGGGGAGAGGTCGATTGGGGCGCACAAGTCGGTGATGGAGAGGGTGGAGAGGAGGGCGTGAGTGACGGCAACAGAGACCTGGAGCTGTTGGTTGGACAGTTGCTTCATGGTGACGCTCCAATCCACGTCTCCAGTAGAGGCAAAGGGGCCGATGATGTTTGCATGGATGGTCTTCAAGGCCTCGGCTGCAGTGGCCAGCCCGCTCGCGTGCACGCGCGCCGCTGGTGTTCTGTTGGTGGTTGTGCGCAAGTCAGCCGCTGAATGGCAAGGTACAAATGCACAGAGAGATGGACAGGGCCAGAGAGAGGGACAGAGACACAGAGAGAGGGACAGAAGCAGAGAGAGGGACAGAGACAGACACACAGACACACAGACAGACACACAGACACACAGACAGACACACAGACACACAGACACACAGAAACACACAGACACACACAGACACACACACACACAGACGCAAACACACAGACACACAGACACACAGACACACAGACACACAGACACACACACACACACACCCGAGTGCGAGGGCAGCCAGGGCGTTGGTGGCGCGGGCGGATGGTGATTCGTTTCGGGAGAAGAGGGCCACTGTGTATCCGAGCCCCATTGCCGACATCAGGGCAACCTCGCGTACGGTTGTGGAAACAACAATGTCTGCAAGGAGTGATGGGATGGCTTCAAACTCGTGCTTGTGCGCGCCTGTTTCTTCTTCATCAAGGAGCGCGAGCAGTGGTGCGTCCAACTGCTGCAGCGTCAGCACATACGCCTGAGCAACACGGGGTCCTTACATGTGAGCTTCGCATGCATCTTCAACAAAACCAAGTCTCGGGAGCTATACTCCACGCACACACAGACACAGACACAGACACAGACACAGACACAGACACACACACACACACACACACACACAAAGCACACACACAGACACACAGACACACAGACACACAGACACAGACACACAGACACACACAAAGCACACACACACACAGACACACAGACACACAGACACACACAAAGCACACACACAGAGCCGAGGAGCAGCCGGAGGTGTGATGTTGCGTGTGCTTGTGCCATGACTACCTTGACACAGGTATGCGCGCTGGCCTCGTTGAGCTGATCCTGCGGCGTGTCTCGCACCACTCGAAGCGCCGCTGACAAGGCCTTGATCCAAGGGACAATGAGTTGCTCCAGGGCTGTTCGGACACAGCTGAGGGCCGCGACGTCAGCAAGAGCCGCAATGTCTGCGACAACACTCACAGCATTGTCCTGCACACCATGATGAGCCGGGGTGAGCGCAAGCAATCATGAGCGGCAAGTGTGCATGCAACAGCAGCTCCAACCAGTTGGCTGTGCCAATCCAAGCATCAATCAGCATGGGACTCACATCAGTGCACGTCCGCAGGAGGTGTTCGAGGTGTTCTTCATACCCAACACGTGTTTGGTCAGGGTAGTGCTCATGCAAGCTGCTCATCGCCTGTGCACGTGTGGGTACGTGTGGGTATGTGTGGCTACGTGTGAGCACAACGTCAAGGAGTACGTGAAGACCAGAAGCATGACTGCAGATCCAGTTGCAGGCAGGCAGGCAGGCAGAGAGGCAGAGAGGAAGAGAGGTAGAGAGGCAGAGAGGAAGAGAGGAAGAGAGGTAGAGAGGCAGAGAGGCAGAGAGGAAGAGAGGTAGAGAGGTAGAGAGGAAGAGAGCGAGGCAGACACAGACACACAGACACGCAGACACGCAGACACACAGACACACAGACACACTCACAGGCACGCAGACACGCAGACACACACACACACACACAGACACACACACACACACACACACACACACACACGCACGCATGCAAAAGGACCTTGCTTAGGTGACGCCGTGACATGCCGGAAACGATCATGTGCAGGCCGACGAGCGCAGAGACAATGTGGGCAAACGCATTGTCGCTGGTGTTGGCCGCAGCCTGCAAGCGCTGCTGTCGCACATCGCCTTTGCCTCCCTTGATGACGTTGTGCAGGTCCACGTACCAGCTCTGTGCCACAGCTTCAATGTGCTTTCGGCTGGGCGTGTCCCCGCCCTCCAGCACAGCGGTTCGCAGCGTCTTGGTGATCAGCGGCCAGTGGCTGGTGCTGCTGCTCGATTCAAGAGCCCGCACATGTTCGTGCACACGTGCCAACATCTTCTTGGTTGTTGGCTTGCTTGCTTTTGCTTGGTTGGTTGGCTGGTTTTGTGGTGTGTGTGTGTGTGTGTGTGTGTGTGTGTGTGTGTGTGTGTGTGTGTGTGTGTGTGTGTGTGTGTGTGTGTGTGTGTGTGTGTGTGTGGTGTTGCGAGAGACAGAGAGAGAGATGGAGAGAGATAGAGAGAGAGTGTGTGTGTGTGTCGTGTGTAGTGTGTGTGCAGGCGCGTGCGAGTTCCCCCTCTACTCACGCTCTGTTTCGCGCTGAGCTCACTGACCGCACACCACGATATTCCAATGATAGCACCACAAAGAGAACACAAACACAAGCAAACGCCATGAATGCACGGTCTCCCATCATGAGCAAGCAAGCAAACAAACAAGCAATAGCCCGCGATCATCATCATCATCATCATCACCACCACCACCACCACCAACCCACCCACCCTCCTTTCCCCACGCGTTTCTCTGCGAATTGCAACCAGCGAAAGTCCAAGCCAGCCACAATCATGCACGCACACCCACACGCACACACACACACACACAACACACATTGCCTGGGAAAAGCTGCTCTCTCCCTCTGCCTCGCTCCCCTGCCTCCTCCCTCTCTCTTCTCATCAGCTGGCGAAGATGTTCTTGGTAAAGTGGCTGTAGTCGAGGGCACCCGCAACCTCCCTGCCGCTCTCGTCCACATATGCGGGCATGTGGCGCGTGCAGTAGTCCACTTGGTCGGGCGTGAGCACGGAAGAGAGGTCGTCCACAGTCACATACGGCTTGCTGCCCGCGGCGGCCCGGAACGCGTTGATCACCTCGTTGGACGACTCCACGTTCTCCGTCGCGCGGCTGATCATAAACGCCATAAACTCCGCCTGCGACACGCGCCCGTCCATGTTCGGGTCAACCGTGCGCAGAATCGCCTCAAACTCAGGGTCAGCCTCGCCCTCCTCAACAACCTCCAGCGTGGAGTAGCCGAGACTGCGCAGGCACGACTTGAACTCCTGATGGTCAAGGAAGCCAGACCCGTCCTTGTCAAAGTAGCGGAAGGTGTCTGTAAACTCCTTCATCTGCTCCTCAGAGACGCCCGTGGCGTTCTTGGCCTGGATTTGCTGCTCCAGGTTGTGCTGCATGCGCATGCCAAGCTGCTCCAGCTGGTCCCACTGCTGCGCCAGCCCAACCGTCGAGTGTTCTGTGTACTTGTTGTCCAGAATCAGGTTCTCCTCCATGCGCGCCCCGAGGTCCTCAATCGTCTTGAGCGTGCTCTTCTTCTGCTGCACCTGCTCGTAATAGTGCTGCGTCGCCTCCAGCTGCTCCTCCAGCGTGCCCGTGCCCTCAACCAGCTTTGCGCGCGTGCTCACCAGCCACGCGTTGAACTCGTTGGCGTGCTTGGCAAACTTGCGCCTAAAATCGTCGTTCTCCTCCTGCCGCTTCATCTCTGCTTGAAGGTCCTTCGTGCGCTCCTCAATCGCCGCCTGCAGGCTGTCCCAAGACTCCTGCAGCGTGTCCACGGTGAACCACGTGTACGGGTTGGGCGCCTGCGTGTACGACGCAATGCGCTGGTTGAGCATGCGCAGCTCCTCAAAGTCCGACTCAGCCGAGCTCAGCGACTGGATGAAGCGCGAGTGGTGGTCGGCGAGGGCGCGAATCTCCTCTAGCGAGTTGACGCGCACGGGGTCTGTGAGGTCCTCCTCTGCATTCTCCAGCCATGAGTTGAGCTGGGACGCCTTCTTGGCAAACTCAAGGAACAGCTTGTCAATGTCCTTGAACGTCGTCTGCGTCTTCACCAGCATTTTCTGCACCGCGAAACGGAACCCAAGGCGGGTGGGTGTTGATGGGTGAGAAGAAGGGATGGGATGGGATGGATGGATGGATGGATGGATGGATGGATGGATGGATGGATGGATGGATGGATGAGCAAGGGAGGAGAAAACAAAGCGCACGCACACGCACAAACAAACAAACAAGTACACACACAACCACAACAAACAAACAAACAAACAAACAAACAAACAAACAAACAAACAAACAAACAAACAAACAAACAAGCAGCGGGGGATGGTAAAGGTGGCACACGCACCCTGCGGTTGGCGGCGGTGTCCAGGAGTTGCTGCCACTGCGAGAGAACAGACGTCCGCAGTGCATCAATGTCAGCAGAGTGCGTGTTCTTGTTCGCCTTGAGCTGCTCTGCCATGGCCTTGAAGGCATCGACGCGTGGCTGGAACAGCGACACGGAGCTGTCAAACGCGTCCTGCTTGTTCAGCAGCGCCTGCACAGCTGTCAGGTCCTTTCCAAAGTCGTTCAGCTCCTCCGGCGACATGGTCTTGTCCTTGATCCACGCCTGGATCGACTCCGCCTCGCGCGTGCACCGCAGAAACTCAAGGCGGTCACCAAGCGCGGCCTTGCGCTCGGCAGAGGCGTGCGTCAGCTCCTGCAGCGCCTCCTCCAGGCGCACCATGCTCTCTCGAATCTCGGCAGCCTGGTAGTTGCCCGCATCAACGAGCGAGCGCCCGCTGGTCAGCAGCTCCTGCACGCGCTGCTTGTGGTCGCCCAGGTCAACCTCAAACGCGTCGTGCTTCTTCGACAGCGCCTGCGCACCGGAGAGCGTCTCAATGGTGTCCACGCTCGTCATCATCGCCTGCTTCTCGTTGATCCACGACTCCTCCTCGTCAACGTCCGCCCGCAGCCGCTGGAACGCAAGCGCCTCCTGCAGCTTGGCCCCGCGCGCCCGGCTCTGCGCCTGCAGGCTCGTCCAGTCCTGCTCCAGCTGCGTGCGGCGCTCGGCAATGGTGTCCGCGGCGTAGTGGCCCGCGCTCACCAGGTCGGCGGCCGCATCCAGCACGCCGCGCACCTTGCCCTCGTGCGCCTGCACCTCCTCCTCAAAGTGCTCGTGCTTCTTCTGCAGGTTCTGCACGCCGGTGAGGTCCTTGCCAAAGTCCTCCGACGCCGCGGCGCGCGCCTTCTCCTTGATCCACGCCTGCTCGTCGTCAATGTCGCGCAGAATCTTCTGCAGCTGCAGCGACGCCTGCAGCTGCGTGCGGCGCTGCGTGGCCAGCTCCTGCACCGCCGCATACCGCGCAGCAATCTGCTCCCGCCGCGCGCGGATGTTGTCGGCATCAAAGTGGCCCGCGTCCACGAACGCCTGCGCCTGCTGGTTCACCTCCTCAATGCGCGCCTGGTGCGAGGAGATGTCTGCCTCCACCAGCTCGTGCTTCTTCAGCAGGCTCTGCACCGCGGGTAGGTCCTTGCCCAGGTCGCGTGAGGAGAGCTGCAGCTCAACCTCAGACAACCAAAAGTCCACGTCCTCCAGCCCAATGTTGAACTGCTGCAGGTTCTCCGCGTCCCGGAGTTTCTGCGTCTTGTCCTCCGACTGGGTGCACAGCTCCCGCCACGCGCGCTCAAGCTCGGCGATGCGCTCCGAGATGGGCGTGGCGTGGTCCGGGCTCTCCCCAATCAGCCGCTTCCCGTCGTTGATCACGGAGAAGATGCGGCCCTCGTTGGCCGTCACCTCCGCGTGGAACGTTTGGTGCTTCTGCACCTTGCCCTGGATGTTGCTTGGGTCGCGGTACGACGGGTCGGCCGCCACCTGCTGCCGCTCCGCCATCCATGCCTCAGCCTCGTCTGCGTCCCGGTAGAACTGCTGCACCTTCATGGCTTGCTCCAGGCGCTTGCCGCGCGCGTCAGACAGCTCCAGCAGGTGCTCCCACCGCGCGCTCACGGCGTGCTTGCGGTCGGAGATGGCCAGGGCGTCGTAGTGCTCCTGGGCAACCAGGCGGTCCGCCTCCGCAGTCACCTCCTGCACCTTCTCCTTCTGCGCCGCCAGGCTGTTCTCAAACTCGGCGTGCTTCTTCTGCATGGCCTCCACGCCGTCCAGCGTGCTGCCGACATCGTCGCTCTCCAGCGGGCCCTCGCGCGTCGTGATCCACGCCTCCACTTGCTCGGCCATGCGCTTGAACGCCTGCAGCTCCGCGCACTGCTCCAGTTGCTGCCGCCGGCCCTGCATCGCCTGTGCCAGCGCCTCTGTGCTGCTCCTCACGGCGTCCAGTCGCTCCTGGATGTCGCCTGATTTGCTGTGGCCCTGCTGCACCAGCTTCTCGCCAAACTCGCGCAGGCGGGCCAGCTCCTCCTGCCGCGCGTCAATCTCCGTCTGCACGTCCTGGTGCCGCTTCAGCAGGCCGTCTGCGCTTGCCGGGTCGTTTGCCAGCTCCGTTGCAGAGGCAAGCGTCTGCATGCTCGCCAGCCACGCCGCCAGGTCCCGCTGCTCGCTCAGGAACTGCTGGTAGCTCAGCGCCTCTGCAAGCGCGTCCTTGCGCACGGCCGCCTTGTCCTGCAGCGCCTGCCAGCCCTGGTCCACCTCCGCCAGCTTGGCGCGCACGCCCTCGGCCTTGCTCGGCTGCGCCGTGCTCAGGCGCTCTGCCTCTGCGCGCAGCTCGGCAACCTTTCCTTCCAGCGCCTGCAGGTCGCGCATGGCCGCCTCGTGCTTGCGCTGCAGGGCCTCCACGCTGGCGACGTCCTTGCCATAGTCCTCAGAGGAGAGTACAACGTCCTTCTCGTTGAAGCGCGCCTTGGTTTCGTCCACGTCGCGGTTGAAGCGGTGCACCTCCTGTGCCGCCAGCAGCGCGTCCCGCCGCTGTGTTGCCAGCGCCTGCAGGGCCGCCCAGCGCTCGTTCAGCGCCGTGCGCCGCTTCTCAATCGCCGCCGCCTGGGAGTGCCCGCTCTTCACCAGCGTATCCGCAAGCTTGTTCGCCACCTGCAAGCGGGACTCGTTGGCCGTCAGGTCCTTGACAAAGTCGTCAAACTTCTTCTGGATGCTCTCGTTGTGCTCCAGGTCTGCGCCCACGTCCTCCTGGGCAGCCACGGCCTCACGCGTGTTCATCCACGACTCCACCTCGTCCAGCTCGCGGTTGAACTGGAACAGCTGCTGCGTCTCCTCCAGCCGCTTGCGCCGCGCCGCCGCCGCCTCAATCAGCTGCGTGTACTGCGACTCCAGCGCGTTCTGTCGCTCCGTCACAGCAGCAATAACCTCGGGGTCCGCACGCTTCTGCTGTCCCTGTGCTCGCGAGCCAGTCGACTGCTGTGCTTGCTGCTGCTGCTGCTGCTGCTGCTGCTGTGCTTGTTCAGGGCCCACCTCTGCGACAACTTCGCGCAGGAAGGCCGCTGGAACAAAGCCAACGCGCCCGTCCTTCTCGCAGCGCCACCAATCTGCAGAGTCCTTGGACACCAGTGCAATAATCTCGCCCTTCTGGACAGACAGCTTCTTTGGATCCGCCTTCGCATCGAACGTGTGCTTGGCCTTGACACGCTTCTTCGACTTGGCCTTGGGTGTGGCTGGTTGCTGCTGCTGCTGCTGCTGCTGCTGCTCTTCTTGCTGGTCTTGCTGCTGCAGCTGATCGGCTTCTGCCGCGTCGGGAACATAAACGTGCTGGCACTTGCGGCAGTCCTCGGCCAAACGCTCAATGTCACCCTTGTACGCGCGCAGGTCCTGCTCGACCACCTCGTGCTTCTTCAGCAGGCCCTGTGCGCTGTCCTCGTCCTTGCCAAAGTTGTCGTTTGTGACCACGGGCTCCTTCTCCGCCATCCACGCCTGCGCCTCGTTGGCGTCTGCCAGGTACTGCTGCACCTGCAGGGCGTGGTCCAGCGCCACGGTCCGTTGCTGCGCCGTGCTGTTCAGCGCGCGCCACCGCTGCAGCAGCTCGTCGCGGTGCTGGCGCACTTGTTCCGCAGCGTAGTGCCCGCCAGCCACCAGCTGCTGCGCCGTCTTCTCCACATCCTGGATGTGCGACTTTCGGCCCGTGAGCTCGGCCAGAAGCGCGTTGTGCTTCTTCTGCAGGCTCTGCACGGAGGTGAGGCTGCTGCCCGTGTTGGTGGACGCGGCAAGGGGCTCCTTCTCCTTGATCCAGGACAGCTCGTCGTCGAGCGTGCGCAGGAACATCTGCAGCTGCAACGACTCCTCGAGCTGCTGCTTGCGGCGCTGCATGGGCTGCGTGAAGGCGTTGTAGCGCGTGGTGAGCGCCTGCTCGCGCGCCTGGATGGCCTCCGCCTGGAAGTTGCCTGCGTCCATCATCTCCTTTGCCTGCCGCTGGATGGCCTCCAGCCGCTCCTGGTGGCCCGCCACGTCCGCTTCCAGCAGCTGGTGCTTCTTGATGAGGTTCTTGACGGAGCTGAGGTCGCGGCCAAGGTCCTCCGATGCGAGCGCTTTCTCCACGTCCTTGCACCACCCGTCCATGTCGTCCACGCGGCGGCTGAACTCCTGGTGCTGGTGCGCCTCCTCCAGGCGCTGGCCCTTGGTGTCAGACTCCTCTTGCAGCGTGGCCCACTGGTTGCCCAGCTCCCGCTGCCGCTGCTCAATGTAGTCCGTGGCGTAGTGGCCCTGCTGCACCAGCTGCGCGCCGGCGTCCTGCACGGCTGTCACGCGGCTCTCGTTGGCCTGCAGCTCCGCCTTGAACGCCTCGTGGTTCTTGATCTTCCCGCGCAGGTTGGTCGGGTCCTTGTACGCGCCGTCTGTGGCGGCCTGCAGCTTTTCCTTCATCCACGCCTCGGCCTCGTCTGCGTCGCGCTTGAACTCCTGCAGCTGCTTGGACGCCTCGAGCTTCGTGCGCCGCTCTGCTGCGGCCTTGACCAGCGCCGCCCGTCGCTCCAGCACGGCGTCGCACCGCGCCTGGATCTCCGCGGCCTGCGAGTGGCCCTCCGTTGCCAGGCGCGCGGCCGCCTGCTGCAGCGCCGCTGTCTTCTCCTCGTGCGCTGCGAGCGACTTTTCAAAGTCGTCGTGCTTCTTCAGCAGCGCGTCCACCGTGTCCAGGGAATCGCCCAGGTCCTCTGTGCGCAGGGCAGACTCGCGCGACGCCAGCCAGGACTCCACCTGCTCCGTGTCGCGCAGGAACACCTGCATGGCGCGGGCCTCCTCAAACTCGTGCTGCCTGCGCTTCCACAGCTCGTCCAGCGCCGCCCGCTCGCCCTTGAGCGCGTCCAGCCGCTGCTTCACCTCCTCTGCGGCGTAGTGCCCGCGCAGGATGAGGCGCGACCCAAACTCCTCCACGGCGTTAAAGTTTGCCTGGCGCGCCTGCAGCTCGTCGTGGCGCTCCTGGTGCCGCTGCAGCAGCGCGTCGGCGCCGGCAACGTCCCGCACCGTCTCCTCCACAGACATGAGCGACGTCATGTCGGCAATCCAGGACGTGGAGCTCTGCAGGTCGTTGAGGAACCGCTGCAGGTCGTGTGCGTCGTCGAGCTTGGTCTTGCGCTGGCGGGCGGCGCTGCTCAGCTGCTCCCAGTGCTGCGACACGGCGTCGCGCTTGGTCCGCACGTCCCCGGCGCTGTCGGGGAAGGCCGTGCACAGGCGGCGAGCGTCGTCGCTCAGGCTGGCCACGCTGTCACCGAGCGCAGCCAGGTCGCGCGTGAACACCTCGTGTTTGCGCTGCAGGGCCTCCACGCTGGCGAGGTCTTTGCCGTAGTCCTCTGTGGAGAGCATGGCCATCTTCTCGCTGATGCGGCTGTCGATTTCGTCGGCGTCGCGGTTGAAGGCGTGGATCTGCTTGGCGTTGCTCAGCAGCTCGTGCCGCTGCGCCGCCTGCTTCTTCAGCGCAGCCCACGCGTCGTTGATCGCCTGGTGTACCGTGCACAAGAGGGATGTGAGTTGTTGTTTAAGTTGGTGTTGTTGTTGTTTAAGTTGGTGTTGTTGTTGTTTAAGTTGTTGATGTTGTTGATGTTGGTGGTGATGGTGGTGACGGTGGAACGAGTGTTCTTGGTGAGGGTGACGCGTGGCAAGGCACGGTTTGATGGATTGTGGGGTGAACGGACACTCTAACAAAAGAACCGCTTGTGGTGTGAAGCGTACTGCAAGCACACACGTACATGCATGGAGCATCACAAACAGATCAGCGCAGTCAGATGTACGCACCTGCTGGCGCTGTTGAATAAACGTTTGCTCTGGATGGCCTTGGCGAATGAGGTCAACGGCCATCTTGTTCACGGCGTCCACGCGCACGTCACTGGCAGTCAAATCGTTGGTGAAATCGTCAAATTTCTTCTGCAGCATGCCCACGTGCTCCAGGTCCTTGCCCACATCTTTGGAGCTGGCAATCTCGGCCTGCGCACGCGGTGTTGTCACACCGAAACACCGAGGTTGTGGTTGATACAAGCAAGGAAGCAAAGGAGGAAATGGGAATGAAAGGAAAGACGCAGGTCATTGTACAGACAGGGAGAGGGAGAGGGAGCGTGCATGTGAGCATGTGTGTATGTGCGTGTGCGTGTGCATGTGTGAGCATGTGTGAATGTGTGTGAGTGTGTGTGTGAGTGTGTGAGTGTGTGAGAGTGTGCGAGTGTGTGTGTGTGTGAGCATGTGTGAGTGAGTGAGCGAGTGAGTGTGTGTGTGTGAGACGGCGGTTGTAGTTGCGAGATTTTAAAATGCAGGACGCAGAGCAAAACTGGAGCACAGGAGAGACATAGATACACCCACAGCTACGAGCACAGCCAAGTAGCCCACAAGCATGAATGCACCGCAAACCAAAGGCAGAGCAAGCAAGACTCGTCCCACCCTCAGCTCACCTTGCTTTGAATCCAAGCGTCGACCTCGTCCACCTCGCGCTTGAAGGCGAGGAGAGCCTGCGCCTCTTGCAGCTTGCGTGCCTTGAGCTTGCTGCGTTCGAGCAGAAGCGCCCACTGTTCCTCCACAAACTCGATTTTGGCGGCAATGGCGTCAGCGGCGTAGTGGCCGTGGTTGATCAGTTCATGCCCGGAGAGCTTGACTGTGGACAGCGCGTTCTCGTTGGCGTGTATCTCGGCCTCAAACGTCTTGTGTTTCTTGATTTTTGCCTGTGGGTGTGTGTCAGCATGCCAATGATAAGCTTGGTGAGGGACGAGGTGGCGTGACACCGACCAGCAAGCATGCCGTTGCACAAAACCAAGCTTGGGCTTGCCCAGGGCACGTGTATGCACGCAAAACAAAACAAAACACCGGGGCACCCACTGACAGACCTCAAGTGAGCCACATGCATATCGACACACAGTACACACTCATACAGACAGAGGCAAAAACAAAAAAAAAATACACGCATGCACACACAGATGTACGCACACAAACATATGCACACACAAGTCTCTACATGTGCACACACAAGTATATACACGTGTACACACACACACACACGCACACGGTATACACGACACCACCTGCAGGTTGGTTGGGTCCTTGTGGGCCTCCTCTGAGGCGATTTTGAGCCTGCTGGCAATCCATGCCTCAAGCTCCTCACAGTTTCGGTTGAACTGCTGGAGCTTCTTGCTGTCTTGAAGCTTGGCGCGGCGCTGTGCGGCCACTTCCTTGAACTCGGACCATCGCTTCAGCACAGCCTGTCTTCTGGCGGCAATCTGCTCCACGCTGCCCAGCAAGCTTACCGTACTGGAAGCAATCTGCACGCCAGGCAAACGGCGGGTGAGTGGTACAAGTATTGTGTTGTGCTTTTGGTGTTGCTTGTTGTTGTTGGTGCTTGTTGCTGTTGTTGGTGCTTGCTGTTGTTGCTGTTGTTGTTGCTTGTTGTTGTTGGTGGTGCTTGTTGCTGTTGTTGTTGCTTGTTGTTGTTGGTGCACGTCAACGACTGTTGTGATGTGGCGAGTGAAAGTGGGAACTCAACAAGCGTTCAGAAGGCGAGTCGCAAGCACACCCCACCGAGCACGGCAGAAACGTGGCGCGCCACACAAAACCAACAAGCACGCACACGAAGCACGCACCACAACAAAGCCCACACCACAACAAAGCCCACACCACAACAAAGCCTGCACAACAAAAGCATACACGAAGCGGTGCATCCCTCCACCCTCCCCCTTTCCTTCAACGAACCGCTTCTCTTTCGGACGCAGTTTCACTGGCGACTGGCTGGCCTGGTGTGGCCGCCGTGCTTTCCTTCTCGCTCATGGTGGATGGCGGTCAACTGCCGTCGTTGTGTTTGCTTTGCCTCCTTCGCTGCTGTGAGCGACAAAACAACAGACAAGCGATAATTGATGGAAGGTATTGCTATTTGTCCAAACGTCGTGTGGGAAGAAGAAGGAAAGAAAGGAAGACGCACACCACACCACAGCACACCACACTACCACACCACACGACAAACCGCAAACAACCCCCCCCCCCCTCTTCCAAACACACATGGCGGACGACATTGGACCAGCGCTGCCGCCGCACTTGGCAGCAGTGAGGCGCACACAGCGAAGCCCGGACCGGCAACAAGGCAGCGCCGTGGGCCCCGCGCTGCCGCCACATTTGGCTGCAAGCCACCAACACCAACACGCGGGCGCGGACGATCGCAGTGGCCATGATGACGTTGTGGGCAGCGATGAGCGACGGCGGCGTCACCGCAGTTCGTCGTCGCCGTCCAGAGGCAAGCACAAAAAACACAAGAAGAAGCACAAGAAGAAACACAAGAAGAAGAGCAGCAAGAAGCGGCGACACAGCGACAGCGAAAGCGACGATGACCGCAGCTCCGACAGCCACGCAGCCCGCCACCACACATCCAAGCCGGAAGACTCGAGAATAGCAGACGCAAGATCAACGGGGCCGGAACCATCACGCGAGACACCGGATGCGCTAGACCAAGATCAACAGCAGCACGGTGCCCGCCGTGCTGTAGGTCCACAGCTGCCACCGCACCTGCTTGCCCAACAGGAAGCGGCTGATAACACGGACAACGACAAGGAAGCACATGCTTTGCTGACGAGCAGCAACACACGCAACACAGCTGGTGCAGGAGCTTCCACCGCCGGTGGCGAAGATGACGACGGCGACGATGATGATGACGATGACGAGATGGGTCCGATGCCAGCGAGCGCACAGGAGATGGCGCAGGCAGAGCTGGAGTCGATCCGCCGTGGCTTTGATGAATGGGATCAGGTGGCGCACGAGAAGACGATGCTTGCCAAGTATGGCGCCAAGCCACAGCGCGAGGACTGGATGACGGAGCTGCCAGAGCGCCACCGCAAGAACTTTGGCGTGACGAACCGTACGTTCAAGCGGCACTACGGCTCGACGGACGACGGCAGCAGCTGGACCGCGACACCCAACGCAGAAGGCAAGCGCGTGCCGAAGCCAGCCAAGTTTGACCCCGCGCTGAAGGGCCGGATGAAGACCAAGGCGGAGGTGGAGCGCGCAGAGGAGGTGCGCGAGAAGGTGCAGGAGTTCAACCAGGCGCGGCGCAATGAGTCCCTCATGGATATGCACATGCGCAAGCAGAAGAAGGCCAAGCAGCAGCGCGACCCAGATGCCATGCCCAGCGGCCGCGTGCGCTTTGACCGCGAGCGGGACCTGCTCTCCAGCAACGTCAGCCAGTCTGCACGTGATCGCATGATCAAGAAGGCCGCAGGGTTCCACAGCCGCTTCACCACGGGATCCTCCTAGTTGTGCTTTTCTCCCTCGCTTGTCTGTCTGTCTGTCTGTTTCTTAGGTTGATTCATGTCATGTTGTCACATCAAATGTCACCACGTTATTACATTGTGTGATGATGTGACGTGACACGTGTCACGCATAAACGCATATTGAGGCCCCTTCTTGCTTGCAAAGCTGGAAAGCTGTGGGACTGTGCGGGGTGGGAGGGGGGGAGAGACAAGAGGTGAGGGACGCCACAACACATCACGTCAATGTCTCATCACAACTCAAACTCCACACACCCACCCACACCCACCCACACACACACACACACACACACACACACACACACACACACACACACACACACACACATACACACACACACATACACACACACACACACACAGCGAGTTTTCCCCAATAAAGTCAGGGAACACACACACCCACACACACACACACACACACACACACACACACACACACACACACACACACACACACACAAAGGGCTGCATTTTATGCTGTTTTCCCACCTGCGGACACGGCGCTGAAACGTGCGCTTGTTGTTGTGTGGTGGTGGTGTGTTGTGGTTGTGGTTGCAGTCAGCCAGCCAGCCAGTGGTGGGTGTCATTGTTGTTGTGTTGCTGACCTCCACACCACCCTGCAGCCGACACACATCCCATACACACACGCATACGCACACATATGCACGCATACGCACAGGTGTTCATCAACTTGCCGCTTGTTTCACTCGTTGCGAGACCTCACGCTGTCTTTGCCTCTCTGTCGTTGTTTGGGGTTGTTGCTGTATCGTTGTAACGTGACGATCACTTCACATTACGCGAACGCGTAGAGTGGCTGGCGCATCTCTCGGGTGGTGGCATTGTCGTTGGCCTGCGTTAGCAGAGATTGCCACCCACCCACCAGCATGGAGGAAAAAGCAAGCACAGCTGTTGTGGTGATAGAGAACTCGGTAAGACCACGACACACTCTCGACAGGCACCCGAGCACGCACATCACGCAAGAGCGTATTGCAAGAGCGTATCGCAAGAGCGTATCATACACTCGCACAAGCACACACATGCGCGCACACAAGCACGCATGCGCGCACACAAGCACGCATACGCGCACACTCACAAGCACACACACATGCGCACGCCGTTAACATCTCCCTCACTTGCTCTTGAAACCCAATGTGACAACCGACGCCTGCGTGCAGACACCAAAGCAAGTGCGCACCTTGCTTGGGCAGCAGGCTGTACCAGAAAGCGCCGTCTCTGCCAATGCAAGAGGCACTGTCTGCTTTGTACGCGCAAACTCCACGGAAGAGGTTTGCTTTTGTGCGTGACATCTCGCAGCCTATGCAAATGTTGCGCCTCCGCTTGTAAACGTGTGTGTGCATATGTGTGTGGAAGTCAGTGAGTGTGCGTGTGCGTGAATGTGTATGTGTGTGCGCGTGAGTGTGTATCACTTCTGCCTCAGTGGCCGCATGTCGGTGTCTGTGTACCTGGAATATGCACCGTGAACCATCGTAAGTCAGGCTGATGGGTCTGCACGTGCGGCTGATGCGTTGATGCTTGTGTTTCTGCTGAACTGTGGCTGCAGGGCTTGACGTTCATGCAAAAGCTATGCTTTCGACCGGGAATGCAAAGCGGCACATGGATCGTCGCATACGCACTTGTGTAGGTTCACCGCGTTCCGCTGCATCATCACTCTTGCTTGCCCACACGCTCTTGGCGTTCTGCATGGTCACCACAGAGAGAGAGACAGAGACACACAGAGACAGACAGACAGACAGACAGACAGCGAGACAGAGAGACAGAGACACACAGAGAGACAGAGAGACAGAGAGACAGCGAGACAGAGAGACAGAGACACACAGAGAGACAGAGACAGAGAGAGAGAGACGCACCACACACACGTGCGTACACGCACACACACGCGCGCCTTGTGAATGCTCTTCAAGTCTATCTACCTCACACGCGCCATTTCGGATGTGCTGCAGTCTGGGCAAAGCTGAGAATGTGCTGTGGTTGCACGGCGTGCCTGTGGGTGCGTCGCTTGCCAACCACCGCAACATGTTCGTGCACTTTTCCAACTTTGGCGGCATCATCAGGCATGTGCGCATGCATATGCGCCGCAATTACAAATCACATCGTCAACAGGCTTCTACCGCAGTCACACACACACACACACACACACACACACACACACACACACACACACACACACACACACACACACACACACACACAAGCACAAGCACACCTCCACATCACCCGTCACCGGCATCTAACACGTTTGTTTGTGGGTTGTGCAGGTTCACGCTGTCCCCCGCGTCGCGTGACGGCTGTCGATCTGTCCGCATTCACTACCGCACGCACGCTGCAAAGGTGGCAGCGAAACAGTGGCTGAAGGACCACGAAGGGCTGTGGAAGCAGTACGCGAAAAAAGGGCAGTGGCCTGCAACAGGCAGCGCCAGCAACAGCCGACGCTCAAGCACAAGCACCGCAGCGGCGCGACCAATCACGCGCGCGAACGCAGTAGCACCACGCCCACCCCTGCAGCCTCTGCCGCCTGCAGCCAGTTTACTCTCGCCCCCTGAGTCGCAGCAAGAGACACAGGACGATGCGAGCCAGGTGACATTCACCCCAACCGCTACTGCCAGCACCAGCAGCAACACAGGAACTGCTGGCAGCGGCGGTGGCGTACGTGCGTTGAGGAAGGTGGTGCAGCCCCGGCGACGCGATGACGACGACGATGATGGCGATGATGGCAATGATGACGATGACCATGATGATGGCAGTGATGACGATGATGATGTCGGCAACAGGCACAAAGGTTACGATGAGGATGATGATGACAACGATGATGCTGATGATGATGACGATGCTGGGGCGTTGCAGCTGCACGGTTTACACACGGGGAGCGGTGTTGGTCCGGTGCGCGCTGTGCCCGTCAAAGCCGTCAAGGCGGTGAAGAAGACACCAGAGCAGCAAGAGCAGCAGTCGCAGCAGTCGCAGTCGCAGTCGCACACGTTCACAGACGAGCTATTTCGCGAGCTCATGGCTGAGGGAGACACCGAACAGAAGGCTGAGGGGAAGGGGGAGGGGCAGGAGACAGAACCAGGGGAGGATGCACACGTGGCGCAGCATGGTGAAGGCACTACCGCTGCACAACAGGTGCCGGTAGCAGCAGCTGCTTCAGGAGCGACTGCTGACAACACCGCCCGCGCATCATCATCATCACCACCATCATCATCTGCTGTTGCTGTGGGTCACAATCGTGAAGTGGACATGAGGGCGGAAACAGTGCACCGCGATGGCGATGATGATGATGATGATGATGATGATGATGATGATGACCACGACGGTGGTGCTGGCACACGTGCCGTGCTCACTGCTGATGCGCAGCGACAGCAAGCCATGCAGAAGAGAGGACCGGAACAAGCGGGCAAGAGCACTGATGGTGATGCTGTTGAGGGCGCGCAACACCGTAAGACAAGAGAACCCAGTTACCATGAACAACAACAACAACAACAACAACAACAACAACAACAACAACAACAACAGCAGCAGCAGCAGACACCGCCGCCCCTCATCCCAATTGCTGAGATGAATGCACATCGTCCCAGCCCGCCACTAATCGGAGCAACAACGACAACAACAGCAGTGCAGGGCACCAGCCGTGAACTCACAGACCAGGCACAGCACCACCCACCTCAACCACCTCAACCACATTTCTCGCCATCGCCCGCACCCATATTGCCAGCGACGCCAGCAACGCAGTTAGCGATCGCCTCCATGTCAGCAGAAATTCCAACAGCAGCGACAGCAGCAGCCGTCTCCACCGCAGCCGCAACGCCCGCAGCAGGGGCCAGCGTGCCACAGACGTCCACAGTGGCGACAACGGACCCGATCCAGAGCATGCTGGGGTCATCCCACTCGTTTGCCGATGTGCTGACCGCGCTCACGTCATCTCTGCAAGCGGCTGTCGATGGGCTTCACCCCGGCTGTTCCTCCCTCGCCCCCGACCACCCCGCACACAAGTACACGCGCGCGCAGACGTTTGCCGAAACCGTGACATGCACGCACTGCATGCGTGCACCCGTGGAGTGGATATGCAGTTGTCGCACGCAGGTCTGCACCGCCTGTGCCAGCAAGCAGCAGCAACTCAAGCGTACGTAGTGCTCTTTGTCGTGTGAGAATGCGTGTAGGGGTGCATGTGTGTGCGTGTTCGTGTGTGTGTCAACGTGTGATGTCAACGTGTGGTGTAGCGTGTGTGTTGGTTTTGGCCGCATGGTGTTGCTGCTTGGCAGACATGCATGTGAATATCGCTGACTCTCGCATGCGTTTGATGTGTGAACGACATGGCTGCAGTGACGCTGCTCTCCCTGACACCAAAGGACATTGGCTGGTTGAGCGAGCACAAGGCAACGCCAAATGGACGTGCACACGCACCGAGCAAACAACAACAACAACAACAACAACAACAGCTTCCACAACAACTTCCACAACAACTTCCACAACAACAACAACAACAACAACAACAACAACAACAACAACAACAACAACAACAACAACAACAACAACAACAACAACAACAACAACAACAACAACAACAACAACAACAACAACAAGAAGCACGGGAATCCTGCAAGACTGACGATGACGATATCTTTTCGCTGCTATTATCTCCCAGTATCATGAATGAAGCAGATGATGATGATGATGACAGCAACCACAACAGCAATTCTCCTTGGAGTCAGCCACCTCTTGCTCAACCCCCGTTCCCTCCGCGTACCCACGCCCCCACTTCCGCCTCCCCCGCGGCTCATGACGACAATCAGCACGGCGGTAACGATGATGCGGGTGGTGTTGGCGGCGGTGGCGATGGTGATGATGGCTGGCGCAGTGAGTGGCTGAACGACGGTCTACCCAGGAAGCGCGCGAAGACAGGACGAGTCCCTGTTGCGGAGGTGCCACCAGGCGGCGTGTGTGCGCTAACCGGAGGTTCAAAGAGACAGCGAGCATATGTGTGCGCTGCGATCAACCACACGTTGCAGACCCACTTCCTCCCTGTGGATCCTGCGCTGCCCGCCACCAACGCCGACACCGCAATGCACGGCACAACACCAACACCAACATCAGCACAAACATCAACACCAGTGCAAACACAGACACCAACACCAGCACACGTACAACAGCAATCGCAGCCGCAATCGCAATCCCAGTTGTCTCCCTTCCCCCTCATCACGCCAACACGGGCGCGCGTGCGATGCATGGTTGGGGGCGTTGGCTACCTCCTGTACAGCGTTGAGGGCGGGGCGCTGATGAAGTGGGCCGTTTCTCCGCTGGCAGACCCGTTTCAGGTCGGCAGCGTGGCCGCTGACGTGTATGGCGAGGTCACGTGCATGATCCCTCGCCTATGCGGCAAGAAGAACAGGCGATTGATTGTGGGCACATCCAAAGGCGTGATGATGGAGTTGGTGCCCGGTATTCCCACACCCGTCTGGTCCTGCCGCCGCCACAGCACTGCCATCACGGGCCTCACGGTCAGTCATAGTCGTTGCTACTGCTATTCCTATTGTGTTTATGTTTGTACGTTTGTACGTTTGTGCATGGGTGCATGCGCAAAACCATGATGGCATGTTCACATCTGTTGGGGTTGCACGTTTTCTTCTTCCATGCCTTGCACCATCGCCATCATCCATGTCTTGCATGCCTGATGCCATCACCATCACCGTCATCTTTGCCTCACACACATATTCGCACATATATTCGCACACATATTCGCACACACACACACACACACACACACACACACACACACACACACATTCACACATACACACACGCGCGCGCTTCCTTATGTCAAATGGGTGCAGCTTGCGAAGCGGGGCCGGCGACCGTGCCTGGTGAGCGGCGACACATACGGCAACGTGCTCGTCACGCCACTCCGCGACACCGCTGCCGAGGCAGAATGCCTCGTGTGTCTGTCGGAGAAGCCCATACGAAACGGCGTTGGCCGGGAGAATGGGACGGGCGCCCTGTGTGCGAAGTGTGTTCGCTTGTCCGCCGCGTCGCCAGTGGGGACGAGTAGCCGCAGCAGCCCGTGCTCACACGCCAGCACCGGCGCCTTTGACGCGTCCTGTGAACCGTGCTGCCTACGACGTCGCAGGTGCGTGATGTGCGTATTTGTGCGCGTGTGTATGGTGTGCGTGCGTGTGCGTCATATACATGCGTGTGTGTATTTACCGGCACTTTCGCGGCTCTTCTGCTTCCCTCGTGCGCAAGCATGCATGCCTATCCTGAGAGCGACGCGTTTCTCACCCCTTTCCCTCTGTGTCCACCCCATTCTCGCCCCCCACAATGCTGCTGCGTCGAAACAACCACCAAACCACAGGGAGGTGTGGGCGAATTACGAGCACGTGGAGAATGCACAAACAACCAAGTGCAGAGAGTGCAGTGCCAGCATCCTGCGGGCACACCCGTTTCAGCTCTGCACCGACTGTCTCGAACTTGTCAGGAAACAGCCCCCCATTGGCAAGGCCGACGGGTGCGCCGGCAGCTGCGACCTCAAGCAGCGGTGTGGCGCCTGCCACGAGCGATCGCTTGCAGCAGTTGTCCGCGCCAACAAGCGCGCAGTGCCCGAGCCGCCGCCGTCGTACACACTGCACCGCCTCTCTGGTCGCATCGCGGGCCTGGACCGCCACCGCATGGACAAGGTCGTGATTGGCGTGGGTGTGGCAGACGCAGCGGAGAGGACGGTGCTGGTGTGGCGCCTGACAGAGACGAAGCCCATGGCCACGGCGCTGCCACCGATGACGCGGGCTGTGAAGGACCTGCGGGTGTGCGGCGGCAGGCTGTTTGTCCATTTTGCTGACTCGGCTGCTGTGGAGGTGTATCGGGTACAGGAGGAGAGCGGGGCAAGTCAGTACACAGCAGCACTGCTTGCAACGTTGCAGGCTGCAGGCGCACAGGCTGTTCCCAGCGCCATGGCAGCTGTTGGTGTTGGCAGGAAAGCACGCGTGTGCATCGGATACACGGATGGAACAGTACAGGCGCGGGCTGTCAACGACAACACGGCAGTGCCCGATCTGCTGTTCCCACAACAGGGTGATGGGGATGGTGGTGATGACGTTCCACGTATGGAGCAGCAGCAACAACAACAACAACAACAACAACAACAACAACAACAACAACAACAACAACAACAACAACAACAGCAACAACAACAGCAACAACAACAACAACAACAACAACAACAGCAACAACAGCAACAACAACAACAACAGCAACAACAACAACAACAACAACAACAACAACAACAACAACAACAACAACAACAACAACAAACTGCAAGCGCTGAACACAGTCATACGACAGGCTCTCAGGAACAACAGTATCTGCACGAACACACGAATGGAACCGTTGGATCAGCCGCTCCTGCTGTGACAGGTGCTGCACGTGCACAATCGCCTGCTGTGACAGGTGCTGCACGTGCACAATCGCCTCCGCAAGCCACAGCTGCAACACCACCAGAACCAGGAACAGGTGCAGACACAACAACAGACGCAACAGCGTCAACACTAGAAGAGGCCGCGTCACCGCCATCGCCATCATTATCGCCATCATCATCATCATCGTCATCGACAGTGTCACCTCCGTCATCACCCGAAGCACCAGCGCCGCACGCTGCAACAGCGAACGCGCCAGCAGCCGTGGCGAGCGCTGCGCCCACACAACCGCAGCAAGAGGACGAGGGCAAACACAATGGAGGAACAGCAGAAGGAGAGGGGCGACAAGGGGATGAAGATGAAGCGGATGAAGGAGAGCGAGATGGTGGTGAGGGAGAGGGTGATGGAGAGGGTGCGGAGGCTGTTGAGGCGAGCGACGAAGCAGACGCCTGTGCTGTTCAGCAGCAAGGGGCACAGCAGCAGCAGGACGAGGAACAGCAGCAGGAGGACGAGGAACAACAACAGGAGGAAGAGGAACAGCAACAAGAAGAAGAGCAGCAGCAGGAGCCAGCTGTGATGGTCGAGGACGATGATGTGGAATCGGTGCATGAGGGCGACGTAAGTGCGGCCACTGGCGCTGAAACTGAAGCTTTTGAGAACAGTACTACCACCATGGGGCAGGGCGGTGATGACGATGATGACGAAGTGATTTTGATCAGCGATAGTGATGATGATGATGACGAGGAAGATGCAGGACCTACCACCAGCACGACAACACCACCACCGTCATCATCGTCATCGTCAGTCGCCTCTGCTGCCAAGCGCAGAGCAGCATCCCCAGCATCAAGCAAGCGAGCGCACTACACCACAACACAGCCACCACAGACAGCGCGAGCACCGCACCCATCATCGTCATCATCGTCATCATCGTCGTCGTCGTCGGCACAGGCGAGGCAGAGGAAGACAGCGCAGGGTCAGACGCGCAAGGCATCAAAAGCAACAGCGACAGCAACATCATCGTCACGGGCCAAGCGCGCACCGACACGCTCACGGCGCAGGAAGAAGAAGGCGAGTGCACACAACATGCAGTGGCGGTTTGCACCGAACATCGAGGGCGACCCAGCGCTGATGCAGGAGGCCCTGCGCGAATCTGACGAGTACTTTCTTGGCCTGGACGGCGCGCCGATGACGACGCGACGCGTGAACGGGCGGGAGATGCTCACGTGTGATTTGATCACGTGCAAGGGCGTGTTCCCCAACGAGAAGGCCCTTGAGGAGCACTGTCGTCGGTTTGACCACTCTGCCGCGCTCGCGCCGCTGAAGCGCGACACCATCAACGCCCGGCGTACGCTTCGTCTCGGGTTTGGCGCCACAGATGCAGAGGTGAGCTGATGGTGGTGATGGTGGTGGTGGTGATGGTGCTGATGTGATAGTGGTGGCGGTGATGCTGGTGCTGGTGCTGTGCACAGCGTGGAGACAGTGCTTAGACCTGATGTTCTTGCGTGTCTGTGTCTGCTTGGATGTTGGTTCATGTTGCTCTGTTCCATGTGCACGTGTGTGTTTGTGTGCGCGTGCGTGTATGTGCGTCACTGCCACGTTTGTTGAATACCTGTCTTGTCTCATGCGCACCATCGCTTGCGCCCTTGCCGCCTGCAGATCAAGCAGCGGATTCGAAAGCTGCGCCTTCGATGGCACCCGGACAAGAACCAGAATCCAAACGCAAGCGCCATCATGGCCGTGTTCAACAACGCGTACCGCGAGCTCAACCAGCCATAGGCACCGCTGATGGCTCGTGGTGTTCGCAATCAGTGTGTGTGTGCGTGTGTGTGTGTGTGTGTGTGTGTGTGTGTGTAGGTGTGTTTGTGCGGATGTGTGTAGGTGTGCGCGTGTGTGCGTGAATGTGAATTTGTGCATACCTGTGTGTTGATCTCGGCAGTGTGGAAGAGGCAGTGGCATGGATTTGTGTGCGCGCATTCAAGTGTGTGTGTGTGTGTGTGTGTGTGTGTGACATTCTCGTTCACGGTGTCGCTGTGTGTAATGAGCTTAGGCCTCGATTTTATTCAACTTGCTATGAAACAGATGTAATTGTACAGCCGCAATATGGTGTGAATCAGCAGTATGGGAAAGCACAACGCAAAGCACACCCGAGCCTATCGTGTGATCTCAATCAGCAGCAACATGCAGACACCGCGTCGGTGTTATGGCTGGCGTGTGTACTTCATAATAACACGACGCAATCCGCTGCTCGTGGTCCACACCTCCTGTAGCCAAGACAAGCATAGACAGAGGGCGTGGGTGCGTGTGTGTGTGCGTGTGTGTGTGTGCGTGTGTGCGTGTGAGTATGCGTGCGTGAGTGTGCGTGGGTGTGTGTGCGTGAGTGAGTGAGTGTGTGAGTGAGTGTGTGTGTGTGTGTGTGTCAAGGTAAGGGACGCAAAAGTGGTGTGTATACATGTGCAAAGGTTGACGTCACATCTTACACAGAACGTCACGCAGACAGCCGAGTGTACGCGCACATTTGCCACACACACACACACACACACACACACACACACAAACACACAAACACACATACGCATGCACCTCTGCTGTCCAGGAGACATCGCTTCTCGCTTTCATCTCCTTTGTGAACGCAGCAACACTCCCACCTGCCGCGCACGGGCCATGAAATCAAATCAACGTGCACACAGAGACATGATGTTAATCCGGTGGCTGTCATAGTGTGTGTAACAGTGATGAAATGAATGTCCAGGCAATGTGCACACACGGGTGTGAAATAGCTGTTGTTGTTGTTGTTGTTGTTGTTGTTGTTGTTGTTGTTGTTGTTGTTGTTGTTGTTGTTGTTGTTGTTGTTGTTGTTGTTGTTGTTGTTGTTTTGTGAGAGGATGCAAGGCGCCACTCACCAACGCCATAGTAGCACGCCTTGGCCGCCAAGAGACTGCAATCATGACCCGCACACCCGCACACACACACACACACACACACACACACGCAATACATGAGTGAGGTACAGTGCATGGCATGACGCAGTGCACGACATTAAACAAACATGGCACATGATACATGATACATCATCCGTTGTCAGTCAACTCACACGACGCCGCCTGGCCGCGTGCAGCGAGAAACGAGCGCAGCCAACGGCTGGAGACTCGACTGCGCATACACCGTTTCCGCCATCATCACCACGTCGTAATAGTGCGTCGGGAACGTGTCCTGCGATGCACACATGAGCGAACACGTGGATGGACAAACAAGCGTGCGTGGGAACAGTTTTATGGTGGCGCTGTATACAAGCACATACAGGGAGAGCACACACACACACACGCACGCATGCACACGCACACACACACACACGCACATACACATACATACAGACACAAGCGCTGCGCGAATGCACTCACAGTTGGGTTTGCCCAATCGCCTGCGAAGAAGCGGCAGCGTGAAGGATCGAGGTTTGGCGTTGGAGGTGACAGGGCGGATGCGTTGCTGTTCGCCAGGACGTTCGGGACCGTCCACTTGTCGATGACACAGCGGTTCTGGCGCAAGCGGTTGGTGAACCCCATGCAAGGGGTGTTTGCGTCGGTGAGCAAGGATGGACGTGCATGAAAGGGGTGGAGTAGAGTCACAAAGTCAGCACAGAGAGGCAGCCCACACACACACACACGTCCACACACGCACGTCCACACACACACACGTCCACACACACGTCCACACACACACACACACACACACATAGTCTTGAAAGTCGACGTGTTCAGCTCCGTGTGCCAGGGCTAACAGGCCAGGATACCCGGCACCGCAGCCGAGCTACACCACCGGGCGATCGAACAGCAGACTGTGAGGAAACTAGCGTGCACGCAGTAGCACGCACAGCAGCAGCAGCAGCAGCAGCAGCAGCAGCAGCAGCAGCAGCAGCAGCAGCACGCACAGCAGCAGCACGCACAGCAGCAGCAGCAGCATCTGACCAAGGATGATCTGAACACGCGAGCGACAAGCAACAACCAGGCACTCACCTCAATCACCGATTTTCCTTCAAAGTTGAAGGAGGTGCGTTGCAAGTATCGAAGGAGATCAAAGGTACATTCCCACACCTTGAAACCACCTTCATACACGCCCGCCTTCACGTCAACTTGAGTTCGAATGAGCTGGCCAACAGTGCCGTCACCTTTCTGTCAAAGGTGGTAGATCGATGCCGCATGTGTGAGCTGGTAGGGCAAGCAACGCGCGCTATCAAGGTTGTTTACAGCGACATGGAACCACACACACGCACACACACACGCACGCACACACACACACACACGCCCGCGCACCCACGCACCCACGTACCCACGCACCCACGTACCCACGCACCCACGTACCCGCGCACCCACGCACCCACGTACCCACGCACCCACACACCCACCCACCCACGCACCCACACACACACCCACACACACACACACACACCCCCACACACCCACACACCCACACACACACGCACACCCACACACACACGCACACATACACATACACACACACACACACACACGCACACACACACATACACACACGAGCACGCGCATTTAACGTACCCCTTCTTCCATTGAGATCTCCACAATGCGTTCATTCAGAGCACGAAAAAGAGGGACATCGTCCACTTCGATCAAGTCCACTTGCTTCTTGCTCGAAACAGCGTCCCCAGGGCCATCACCACTATCATCACCATCACCATCACCATCATCACCATCATCATCATCATCATCATCATCATCATCTTTGAGGCGAGACAGGTGCGGGTTGATGTCTACAATGCCCAGTGCCGGCCCCGCTGCCACATGGTGTTCCCCAGTCTTGGCTCTCTTGCTTGCAACTTCCTCTCTACTGCTGCCATCACCGCCATCACCAACAACACCACCACCCTTGGCATCACCAGCATCAGCGTCCCCGTCTTCGCTCCCTGTCCTCACCCGCTCCCCCACCACATCACCACCACCACCACCACCAAACCCGAAGCTGAACGCCATGTCCGCTAACCGAAATTTGTATGAAATTATCCACCATTCTTCCCGACTTCAGCAAAGACAACGAAGATGAGCGACAACCGCATCACAGCGCTGCCACCCGACTTGTCGAAATGTCTGGGGTATTGTGGGCGTGTGCCTGAGCCGGGCCTGAATCTCACGGCCATCGAGTGTGGGATGTGCCCTCGTGCACACCGCTCGGATGGCTATGTATGTGTTCCGTGCGCCGGGCAGCTGGAGGGCTATTCCATTGTCTTCATTGTCGTGGAGGTTGGTCAGCGGGTGTCGTGCTGTGATGGCTGACTTCAAGGGTGTGTCGTGCGATGGTGAACAGCACAGACACGCACTCAATTGCTTACGCAAGCGATACGACACTGTGACTGGTCGCTTGAATGGTGTTGACGTACTCCTTTATGCCTCTGTCGTCTTTCTGCGTATGGCTGCAGTTGCTATCGTTGTATTTGCAGTATCAAGGAGTGTTTGTGTCCATGACACGATCCTCGACCAAGCGCAAGACACGCATTGCCATCTCCGTGTACTTGGTGTTGGAGCTTGTGCTCGCAGTATGCTGCACCCTCCTCAGCCTCGAACCAAAGGTGTGTGAGCTTCTTGTGATAGACAGTGTAGCTGACTCAGCACACCTGCCCATTGTTCCCATTGTGCCGCATGCCTGCCAGTTGCCTCGTCGACGATCTTCTGTTCTTTTCCAGCATCCACGCTCACCTTCACTCTGTACGCTGTACCGTGCTGACAGGGGTCGCTACGGGTATATTCCTGTGGCATGTCGCATGTCAACGACTGGTATCCCGTCTTTTTCAACCCAAAGCCCGACTACATTCACGTGCGTTCCTTGTTGGTTGTTGTTGCAGTGGTGGTGGTGGTAGTAGTGGTGCTGGTGGTGGTGCTGCTGCTGTTATTGTGAGTTTGCGTGCACCAGGCATACCAACACCACCAACAAGTACAACGATGATAAACACGAGCATCATACAGCTCCATTGTTTATGTGTTCTGTGGTTCACACACAACCCATTGTTTTACCCCTTGTGAACGCCAGTGTGAACATCTGCCGTCTCTGTTCACTCCGCTCACATGACGCACACGCCGCACCCGCATACACACACATCTTCATGCCACATTTGCTTGCGCATATGTGCACATGCCAGGCCGTCCACTGTGCGAATGAGGTTGCCTTCCCGCTCATCACGTTCTATCTCCTCTTTCTCGGGTTTATCGCCGCCATCACGATTCTCATTCGACTACCGCTCCTCTACTCACAACGTGCGGCACCCCTTCTTGTGCCTGCGTGTTGATGTTTGGATGCATGTGGGTGCATGTGCATGTGCATATGTGTTGTGTGTGTGTGTGTGTATTCATGTCTGTAGATGCCTGTGTTTGCTCTTTGTATCTGCCGCTGTGAAGTCCTTTTTCCGCAAGTGCGACAGCCATTCACGATGTGTGCTACGAGGCTCACGAGCCAAACCCACTTGTTTGCTCCCTAAACCCCAATTCACCTCCCGCCTCTCCGTCCACTTGCCATCATCAACATCACGTGCAGGGGTTGTGCAAGCAACAGGCGTGGACGCATCATACATGCTGCGGCACACGTGGGCGCTCCTGTTTGCGGTGCCCGTCCTGGCGCTGGTGCACGTTGCCCTGGGCGGTCTCGTGTTCTATGCGTTTCCCTTTCTCCTCTTTGCGTCTTTCCTCTTCAGCTGCCTCTACGCCGCAGTGTTTCGCGACAACCTCCAGGTGCGCGCGTGTATGCTTGTGTGTGCGTATGTATGCCTGTGTGCGTTTGCAATATGCGTGTGTATGTGTGAGTATCTCGGATGTGAGTGCCTAACACGTGTGTGTGTGTGTGTGCGTGTGTGTGTGTCTGTGTTTGCAATATGTGTGTATGTGTGAGTATCTCGGATGTGAGTGCCTCACACGTGTGTGTGTGTGTGCCTTCGTTCTTCCACCACCACCACCACCTCCTCTTCCTCCTCCTCCTTCTCATCCTCCTCCTCACTGCGACACGATAACGCCGCACTTGTGCAGGCTTTCAAGACGCCATTGCGGGTGCTGTGGACGGGGTTCCGCTTCTACGTGATACCCTTTGGATGCCTGGTGCGTTTTCTTGCTGTTGATGTGCGAACCACTTTCCGCCTCTGCTGCACTCGTGCTGCACCTCTGTCCAACTCAATACTTCCTGTCCCTCCAACTGCCTGTTCTTCATGACCACCGCCTCCTCACTTGACTGTCTCGACCATGCTTTCGCCTTCACCACCACCGCCAACAACAACAACAACAACAACAACAACAACAACTTAAACAACAACTTAAACAACAACAACAACAACAACAACAACTTAAACAACAACTTAAACAACAACAACAACTTAAACAACAACAACAACAACAACACCCATCACCGACCATCACAGTACTGCATGCGGGAGTTGTTTGGGGCGCGGAGTGCACTGCATTGGATATGGATTGCACTCGGCCCACTTGTCCCCGCCGCCGCCATCCAGGCAACTTGGCGCTTCACAGACGAGAGACGCTTCACGTGACAATGTGTATATGTATGTATGTATGTGTGTGTGTGTGTGTGTATGCGTGCTTGATTATATCGCATTGCGCACTTGTCGTGTCGGTGTCTTCCTTCCTCCCCCTTCTCTTCTTCTTGTTCTTCGATGTTTTATTTGCGGCTGTTCCGCGCTTGCTCTGTGCAAGTTTTTTTCATTCTTCTTTGGTGGAATTGGTTATCTGAACTTGACTGGAATACATAACGACTCACATTGCACATGGAAGCCAGTTACATGAGTAAGCACACAAGCACACACACACACACAAGCACACACACGCACGCACACACAAGCACACACGCACACACACACATACACACAAGCACACACGCACACACACACACGCACACACAAGCACACAAGCACACAAGCACACACACACACACACTCTCTCTCTGGCACGCACAGACCCATGCCTACTTGACCGTGATGACGACATCGTTGAATGCGAGCGATCGACGGTTGTGCATGAGCCGCAGGACGGTGGATCCGTCGTCCGCCCACGTCAACACCACAACACGCCTGTCCACGAGACACGTGCAGTGAGCGTGCTTTTCGCTTGAGAACAGCGGCACAAGCCCATCCCCGCGTCCGCGTCCAAGCTGCAGTGCAAGCACGGGGCCAACGCGCACCACCCTCACCTCATCATCACCTTTATCATAAGCATCGTAGTCACCATCATCATCATGACCATTAGCTGTCGTCTTCTTTGCGCCATCACCGCGAATGCATGTCGCATCATCGGGCGATAACGCTGTGGCGCGAAGCGGACGCAACACACCACCAACACCACCGTGAGTGCCACCATCACCATCCCTGAGCTGCCACACCGCGCATGGTTGCTGGTGTGCACATCCATCCGTCATCGTCATCGTCTGCGTTGTTATCGCCGTCCCCATGACGAGTTGTGCAATCTCACCGGTGCTCAGCAGTACATGCGGACAGGGCGGCGGTCGCGCCTGTGGTCGCCGGCGTGGCTGCTGCTGTTGCTGCTGTTGCTGCTGTTGTTGTTCCTGTGCGTGAGACGCGTGTCCACCAACACTGGGCTCGGTGACATGGGCACCACCAACACCAGCACAGCCACTCGCGCCATCAACATCAACCAGCGCTTGTATGTCCTTCCCGTCTGTGTCCACACGGATGAAGTTCAGACGCGGCTCCAGCATGCGCGCGAGCCAATACAAACCACTGCTGTCCCTGCACAGACAGAACAGCTCTGTGGTGGCGATGGCGGCGATGGTTGCCCGAGCCAGCTCAGGTGCTGTCGTCACTGCTTGTCCAAACAGAAGCACAGGCTCGTCCACAAGCCTAAAGACAATGTGTGTGTGTGTGTGTGTGTGTTTCAGTGAGTATGCGTGAAAGAGAGAGAGTGTGTGTGAATGTGTGCGTCAACGGCCACTTAAAACATCCAACACTTGCATTGACCCATTGCTCTCTGCACATTAAATAACAAACAAACACACACGCACGTCCCACATCAGCCCAAACCGCCGTCAGCCAAGACATGTGTCGCACCGTATGCCTGTGTTGTCGCGCATGTCTGTACGCAGCGGGCGATGATCGGCAGCTCTGAGCTGGCACGATGTGAGTAGAGGTGCCAATGTTGCTGCTGGTTGCACTGCAGCTGTTACTGCTCGTGTTCGTGGTGTTGTGACTTGTGCTGGCTGCGCTGTTGTTGTCGCTGTCGATGTCGATGTTGTTGTTGCTGGTGCCAGCGTGCTGGCTGTCTCGTCTGTTGTTTGGGGTGGACACGGCCACGTGCACGTGAGCGTGTGCGGCTGCCACGTGCGGCTGGCGCGAGTGAGGAGCGGGCCAACAAGCAGCGATGTGCCATACGCGCCAATGGATTCCAGCGCCGTGCCTGCAGGCAACACCCAGGCATAACCAAGAAACAGTTCAGGCCATGAACATAAACAATGGAGTGAATGAGAAAGACAGCGCGGAGACGGTGCAAGAAGGAGGAACAACTGCAATGATCACAGACGTCACAGCATCACTTCGACAACAACAACTTCAACAACAACTTCAACAACTTCAACAACTTAAACAACTTAAACGACAACTTAAACAACTTAAACAACAACAACAACTTAAACAACAACAACAACAACTTAAACAACAACAACAACAACTTAAACAACAACAACAACAACAACAACTTAAACAACAACTTAAACAACAGCCGCACCTGCATCTGGGTTGTCTGCGCGCATGTAGAGCAGATTGTGCTCTGCGGCAACAACCTCCCACTGCCGCGCCACTGCCGCCTGTGCGTTTGCCCACGCCAGGTGCTTTGCACGTGGGAACGCGTGCTTAGCGCGCGGCGCAGGTATGAACACGGGGTTGGCAATGACAGACGGGCAGAAGCGCAGCGTCTCCTGCACAAAGTCGTGCACCTCCGCATCCTTGCATATGAGAAGACCGACACGACCGCAACATGTGTCCACCACACCAGGCGTTGTTCCTGCCGTGAACCCAGATGCCTTGTCGTTGATGTTGCGCTTCCGGTATGCGCCAACAACAGCACCGCCGTCAAATACCAGCGCCGTGTTGAAGCGCTGCGTGTTGCTGCCGCTGCCAGCCACCTCCGTCCCCGAGCCGGCGACGAGCGTGATGTCAAAGAGTGCCGAGATGCGCTGGAAGTGCGAGAGGTTGTGGCGATCGTCCATTCGCGTCAGCGGCAATCCCGTCTCCGTGTCCACATCCACGTGCACGCTGCTGAGGACCGACGCTGAGCGCACTCGCATCGCAACCGGCAGAACAGAGTCTTGCTCACGCTGCTGTTCTTGATGGTGGTGTTGCTGCCACTGTTGTTGATGTTCTTGCGGTCGCTTCTGCTGTTGCTGTTGGTGATGATGTTGGTGTGCTGTTTTTGGGGCGCTCAAGTTATGTCCCGTGCCATCTGGTACGCGCACACCATCGCCGTTCCACGGGTGGACATCGCCTGCTACCATGTGACCCATCACTTGAACCATGTCGAACACGCGAAAGGGCGTTGGCAGCGCAAACTCGGGGAACACGAGCAGCTTTGCGTCCATCGGCACGTGAATGTCGTCGCCGGCGTGCCCATGCATGTGCTGTTGCGGTTGTCTGCCACCGATTGCCGTGAACAGGCGGCGCAAACATGCGTCAAACAGCGTCAGGGCGTCAATCGTTGGCGCCTGGACCACAGCGAACCCCGCAGTCGTGGCAGAAATAGAGCTTAGCGTGTGCTCCGCGGTGCTGCCAGCACCACGTGTGGAGGGCTGTCGTGTGCGTGACGACGATTGAGGTGGCGAAACTATTGATGGCACCGGTGACGTGTGTGTATGGGGTGTTGTTGCAGCGAGGAAGGCGCGGATGGGTCCAGAAGCAAGGCGCTGAAAGCAGTCGTGCACAACGGTGAAGTGATGGTGCTGCAGCTTTGCCACACCATCGCGCCACACGCCCTCCCAATCGCGAGTGATCAGCTGTTGCAGATCGGCTTTGAATGCCGGGAGCCACGTGGGGACGTTCAATGCACTCAACCGCTGCACACCGAGCAGCAACCCTGCACCGACACACATTGGGTGTGATGTGAGTGTGTGAGCGTGTGTGTGTGTGTGTGTGTGTGTGTGTGTGTGTGTGTGTGTGTGTGTGTGTGTGTGTGTGTGTGTGTATACGTGTGTGTGTGTGTGTGTGTGTGTGTGAGCGTGGTTTTGTGTGTGTGTGTGTGTGTGTGTGTGAGAGAGAGAAAGCGTGTGTGTGTGCATGAACGAATGAGCGAAGCTTAGATGAATGATGATTCATGCGATGCGTGTGAGTGCACGGTCACACAGGGCATGCATCGAAAGCAGCTTCAGAGCCAGCGGAAACCACCCAGACGTGACAAGCATCAAGCCATTCCATGCCCACCAAGAGCGCAGTGCTTCAGGGTGTGCGTGTCAACGGCGTGTCCCGTTTGGTGTAGGCAGAACTCTTTCAGGTCCAGCAGCCATCCGCGCACGCCACCGTCGACAGGCCCATGCACGTCGATGCGAGCACTGCTACCGCCACATGCGACGCCGTCAAGAAACGCAATGCTCTCGTGCACGGCACGCTCAATCGAAGCTGTCAGCTTTGCAAGCTGCGACTCAAACTTGGGCGCCACGCATGTGCACGCCTGGTCAATGTACACCAACAGCGGAGCAGAGCGGTGTGGTGGCAGTGGTGAAGATGCAGCACGCCTGTTGACATCGTCACGGCTTGGTGTAGGCTGAGAGCCGCTGTGGGCTGCAATGACAATGTTGTATCCGTTGCCGTCGTTCTTGAAAAGCATTGGCCAGCGGTCCCTGCAGGCAGCAGTGATGATGGTGACGAAGGGGTGAGTGGAGGTGATGCAATGGCAAAGTCGCCGTGGGAGAACCACACAAACACACTCGTGCACGTTGCGACGTACAAACACATGTACGTACGCACACATACATACATGCATATACGATGTGATGCTCACGTGTGATAACACACGAGGAACTGGTGGCTCTGCGCCGCAGTCATTGATCTCAAAGAGGCAGAGTACACACCAGTTGTTGACGAAGACATCAAAGGCGACGGAGACGCCGATGTTGACGGCGTTCATGCGGCCAATGGACGTCCCGCAATCCAGCAGCCTGTTGACGTGCAAATGGAAAGAAGGAGGGGGGAGTGGGCGTTGCGAAGGCTATGTGAGCCACAGCCGCATGATGTGACAGTGCATACTTGTGTGAATGCATGTGGTTGTGTGTGTGTGTATATGTATCTATGTATGTGTGTGTGATGCAGGATGACAAAGTTAAACGGCAGAGAGCGACGCACGGTTGAATGGCGTGAGGTCCACAGGTGGAGAACGTTGTGCTGCCGACATGTGGCATAATCTGTGACGCGGTATGCACGGTGCGAAGTGAGGTGTGTGAGTGGACCTGTGCGAAGCAAGGGACTTCAGCGGCTTGCTAGTATGAATGTCTGTGCATGTGGAAATGCCAGTGTATGTATGTGTGTGTGTGCGTGTGTGTGTGTGTGTGTGTGTGTGTGTGTGTGTGTGTGTGTGTGTGTGTGTGTGTGTGTGTGTGTGTGTGTCATGGCGAGCACCTGACGCGCGTGTGTGTGTGCGCGCGCGTGTGTGTGTGTGTGGTCGTCAATGGAGTCGCGTACTTGAACAACTGTGCCAGAGGCCTTTAGGATGACGTGGTTGCCGTTGTTGAGTGTGAGGTGAAGCACACTTGATCCCAGCTGCTGTGCGCCGACGATGAGCTGGGTCTTGCCTGCTGGTGCTTTGGGTCTGCTTGTTGCTGTCTCCATCTTCCTTGTTGACGGTGTTGAAGACCAAGCCATTGGGCGCGCAGCACGTAAAGCCGCAGACGATGGCAACGGCGGCGGAGGGGGAGGTGCTGATCCTTGATCTCGTGATGGTGGCGGCGGGGGTGGTGGAGGTGGGGCTTGTGTTGGTGGAGGGGGTAGCGGCAGTCCTTGATCTCGTGGTGGAAGAGGAGGAGGAGGAGGAGGTGGTGGTGGTGGTGGTGGTGGTGGTGCTGTACGCTCCTGCTGTGAAGGTGGGATAGGTGGTGGTGGTGGTGGAGGGGGTGGTGGTGGTGGTGGTGGTGGGGCTAGTCCTTGACGCCAATTCGACATGGCTGGCAAAGTGGCTGGCAAAGTGGCTGGCTGGCTGGCTGATCCAATCGTTCCTCCTCTTGCTGCTGTGATGCGTCGACACGCTGCGCGACGTGCGTGTGTATGTACCGGATGCTGCTGGGGGGTGTGTGGTCGTGTGAATGAACTGTCGTCCACCAGCCAGCCCACCAGCAGCACCAACCACACACTGCCACTGCCAAACAACAAAGTCCTTCCACCACTTCTCTCTGTGTCCAAAAATAACCCGGCGCACACACACACACACACACAACGATGATGGCGTTTGGTGGCTGGGTTGGCGTGTCGATCAGCGTGGTGCTGCTGCTGCACGCCGCATACTCCGCGAGTAGATGTACGTATGCTGTGACGGCGCGCGAGGGCACGTGGGTGTGAGTTGCGCGCGCGCGTGTGCTTGCGCTTCGCGTGCAGAGGCGTGCAAGCGTGTGTGGGGCTTGCTTGCGAGATGTGACATCTCACACGCTTATTTCACGCGCACGTGTGTGCATTGATTGCGGTGTGCAGATCACAGCTATCTCAAGATCAATCATGAGGAGTTTGAGTCCCTTCCCATCGACGTCAGTGTGTGTGTGTGTGTGTTGTGTGCTCTGTGTGTGTGTGTGTGTTGTGTGTGTGTGTGTGTGTGTGTGTGTGTGTTGTGTGCTCTGTGTGTGCTCTGTGTGTGTGTGTGTGTGTGCTGTGTGTGAGTTGCGTGTGATGATATGGCCGTGGTTGACATGCGCGCTCGCAGTGGGTATGCTTGTTTGTTTCTTGACCTCCTTGTCGTTTGACGCTTGGCAACCTTCTCATTGACTTTGCGTTTCCTTGGCTTCCTTCTCCCTTTCCTTACCACGTTATGCTCACGTCTTTCCGTTTCCATCCCTGTCCCCTTACGCACTTAACTGATTCGCAGATTGTGGTGCAGACGGTAGCCGCCATGATTGTTGGCATGGTTGCCATTGTTGCACTCAACACAAACTTTGCCGATATCCACCTCACATCCCGCCTCAAGAGCAAGTGCGTGTGCGTGTGTGTGTGTGCGCGCGTGTGTGTGTGATTGTGTGTGTCTATCTGTGTGTTGTGTGTGTGTGTGTGTTTGTGTGTGTGTGTGTGCGTGCATGTGTGTGTGTGTGTGTGCGTGTGCGTGTGTGTGTGTACATGTGTGCGCATGTGTACATGTGTGTACATGCGTGCGTGCGTGTGTGCGTGCGTGTCGACAAGTCCATGTGCATAACCATCGGTTTCCTTTGCCTCTCTTCATATGTGGACGTCCTTGTGTATGTTACGTCACCTCTCACAACCCACCCCTGTCCTGCCCACCCCTCCCCCCCCCCCACCACACACACACACACATTCAGGACGTGGGAGACGGCGTGTCCGAAAGCAGCCTTCCGCACCTTCCACAACACCCGTCACTCCTTGATCCACAACAAGGCGCATTGAGAGCCGGTGGCCCCCCCCCCCGCGCGCATCCACGTGCCTTGTTTCCACTCCTCCGTGCTCTCTGTCACATCATGCCTGTCTATCTGAGAATCAATTCAACTCACATAGCCTTGACGCATGCGCAACTCACCTGTCCCAGCATTTCACATGCCCCCCCCCCCTCGTGAATACACGCTCTCCTACCATCTCAAACAGGCACTCCCTCTGCAGTCGTTAGCTCTATCTCTCTCTCTCTCCCTCGCGCACGTCAGCGTCCATGCCTCATCTTGTCTTGTCTGCCCCTCCTCTTCTTCCTCACTGCCACATTGAATTGTCACGTCGTGTTCCAATACAAGCAAGCGTGTGTATTGCATGCAATTGAGCTGCTAGACGTCTGTGTTGACGGCGCGTGAAGCGAGTGTGCACATTCACCACCCGAGCAACACACCATGGTCAGATATGGACACAACAAGCTGGCTTCTTGAAGTGGGGTCTGCAATGTGAAGAAAAGAAACAAAACAAAAGAGAACGCAACTGTGTTGTGGAGTGGAGGCGTGGTGGGTGGTTGTCTAAGTTAAACGAGCATAACAAAATCAAAGTAATGCTAATAATGGCGCAAGATAGGCATATATGGATGGATGGATGTATGTATGTACACAGCCAAAGCAGGCGCAAACGCGCGCAGCGAATAAACAACATCAACGAGAACGGGGCAAGGCAACCCCAAATGTACAAAGGCGTTCGCATCGCCTTTCTGTGTGCAACACAAGACGCAGCAGATGGAAAGACAAAGGTGAAGCGAATGGCAAGGGTAATGTGATCCACTCAAATCAACAGAACCTGCAATCATCACCACCACCGTAGGTGCAAACTACTAACACCACCAAGGGTAGCAGAAGCGACTCCATCCAGCCGCAGGTGTCATTGCGACTGCCCGTGGCTGTTGGCGTTACTGCTGCCGCTGCCGCTGCCGCTGTTGTTGTTGTTGTTGTGGTAGTTTGAGTGGCCTGGGAGTTCAAACCCAGCACCATCCAGCATGGTGGGAGGCAACCCAAGCTCAAGCAACATCTGCTGCTGCGCAGTCCGGGGCTGCTGTGATTGGTGTTGTTGTGATTGGTGTTGTTGCTGTTGCGGTTGTTGTTGCGGTTGCTGTTGCGGTTGTTGTAGCTGATGTTGCGAAACAGGTAACTGAAGCTGTGGGTCCATGGTGGGGTGTGTTTGAGCAAAGCCATGTTGTTGGTGCTGGTGCTGGTGCTGTGGCTGCCGTTGTGGTTGTGGTTGTGGTTGTGCGTGTGGCTGCTGCCACATGCCCATGCTTGCAGCGTTGTGACCACCACCACCGCTGGCACCACCACCACCACCACCAGTGCTGCCAGTGCTGCTGCTGCTGCCCGCCACGTACGCTGATGGTGGCGGGGCACCAAACGGAAGGCCGGACAGCATCGACCCGCGCAGCAGCTGCTGCTGCCACAGCATGGCCGGTGTGGCTGCTGCTGTTGCTGACGATGATGACGACGACTGCGGCGCCTGTGGCGAATGCAGTTGCCCCGCACCAAACGGCGGCGCGGGCTGGTGGTGGCGCGCATCCATCATGCCAGAAAACGGGTGCGGCAGCATGGACGCCTGTTGCTGTGGCTGTTGGTGTTGTTGCATTCGTTGCATGTGCATGAGCCGCAGCGTTGGTGAGCCCTGCAAGAGGCGGCCCGAGTAGTACAGCTCAAACACGAGCCGATACAGGGTGCGCAGCTCCCGGTTGAGGGTGGCCATCTCGCGGTTGAGCGCATCACGCCGCTCGTCCTGCTGCGACACCAGCTTGCGCACAATTTCCTTGCGCGTCTTCACCGACTCGCGGTGCTTCTGCGCAGCGAGCCGGTTCATCTCCCGCAGCCGCTCCTGTTGGTCTGGCGGCAAGTCCTTCATGCGCTTGCGCTTCCGTCTGCGCGCGCTGCTGCCCGTGCTGCTGCCGCCGCCGCTGCCAGCACTGCCGCTGTGGTGGTGATGGTGGTGATGGCGGTGCAACATGTCCTCCAGGCTCATGTCTGCGCCGCTGCCCGTGTTTGCGCCCAGGGCGCTTGAGCTGTCGACAGAGAGTGGCGCGGCGTGCTGGCGATCGCCCGTGATGCTGGCCGATGCAGAGCGGTTGCTGCTGGCGTCGTCGGGTGTGGACCCCGTGCCGTCGCCATCCTGCGGCACACCAACACCGAGCTCGTACCCGCTCCACGCTGCTGCGCCCTCCGCCCTCGCCCGCTGCTTCCGCTTGTCATTCTGCTGCTTGTCTGCGCGCTTCAGGGCGGATGCCGTGAGCCCCTGGCCGCGGGTGCGGGACCCGACAGAAGGCGGTGTCGATGCGCCAGACCTAGGCCGTGATCCGCTCCCCCGCGACGAAGGATTCGATGTTCTGGACGTCAGCAGCGAAACGGCGGGTGGCTGTTGTTGTTGCTGCGGTTGCTGCGGTTGCTGCGGTTGCTGTTGTTGCTGTTGTTGTTGTTGTTGTTGCTGCTGCTCATCTTCTTCTTGTTGCTGCTGCATGGCTTGAGGTTGCGAGGGCGGCTGCGCTGGCTTCAGAGCAGGGGCAGCAGATGAAGAGGATGATGACGGCGCAGGTAGCGTCGGCACTTCAAGCGGCGTCAGTTTCAGGGGGCGCCGAAACGGCTGCTCCCTCTGTTGCTGCTGTTGCTGTTGTTCCTCCTGCTGTTGCTGTTGCTGCTTTGGTTTCTTGGTCACCAGCTCGCCGTCTTCTGATGCATGTGCAGGTGCGGGTGCAACTGCTGCTGTGCTGTTGTCGACAGCAACACCGGTCCTGCTCAGCTGTTGATTGTTGTCGCCATCACCGTGGGTGCTAGCATGGTCGTCGGTCAGGGGCGGTGGCGTGGCGCCAGCCTGGTCGCGAGACGAAGCGTCGTCGGGTGTGGGCAGGGTGCTCGCCTCAGCGGCGGCAGCAGTGGCGTCCGCGGAGTTGTGTGTAGGCACTCGCGCACCGCGACTGCTAATGCTGCCACCAATACCAGTGTCCGCTTGCAGCGTGGGTGATGATGCTTGTGGTGCAAACGCTGATGCTGCAGTTGTGGCTGTGGCTGCTGCTGTGGCCGTTGGTTGCTGGGGCTGTTGGAGTTGTCTGGGGCCGGCAGCCGACGTCTTGATGGCGAGGAGGGACGCAGAGTCGTCCATGTGGTACATGTCGTCATCATCGGTGGTGAGTGGCGTGGCGGTGGCCATGGTGGAGTGCACGCCCCTCATGAGCGCCATGAAGTTTGCGGGCTGGCTGTTGGACATGTCGTCTGAGCCCGGGCTCAGGCTGGCTTGGCTGCTGGTGCCGGTTGCGCCGCCGCCGAAGAAGCGGAGCATGGCGGACGAGGCGGTTGTGCTCAGGCCATACTGCACGAGGTCGGATGTGTTCTCGGAAACGGAGGAGCATCGGGAGGGTGCCGTTGACAGGCGGCGGGCCTGTGACATGGTGTTGCTGCTGCCTCTGCCGTAAAACACGCCACTGATGTCTTCCTCGCTGCCCTTGCGGGTTTGGTGGCCGACACTCATGGTGTCGCTGTGGCCGCGCAAGTGGCCGTCCTCCTCCTCCTCCTCCTCCTCTGAGTCCCGCTCATCATCACCGTCGTTGCCGGCCTCGTCATCGGTGAGGGCCTCGCGCACATCCTCGGTGATGGTGCACGAGCTCTCCTGGAAGGCGGATGTGTTGAAGGCCGAGTTCTCGTTGATGAGGGGCTGGCGCCACGCTGTTCCTTGCTGGAAGCCCAGCGCAGAGCGTGGCCGGCGCTCAAAGCTGAGTGAGAGCGCGGGCTTGCTCGGCGCAGCATCCGTGCTCTGGAGGTCAAAGAACTCGCGAAACGCGTCCGTCATCCTCACAAAAAGGGGAGGTGGACCGTGACCGCGAGGCGGAGTTGTGTGTTGTGTTGTGTGGCTGTGTCGATGTTGTATGTCTGTGGGTTGTTGTGTTGTGTGTCTGTCTGTGTCGGTGTTGGTGCCGGGGTTGGCTGCTTGGTGCCGGGGTTGGCTGCTTGGTGCCGGGGTTGGCTGCTTGGTGCCGGGGTTGGCTGCTTGGTGGTGTGGATGGGAAGAGCAGCGATGGCTGAATGAAGGAGCGGCCGTGGTGCTGGTATGGGTGTGTGTGTGTGTGTGTGTTGATGCGTCGAAAGGGAAAGGGAAGGGGGGAGAACGGCAGGAGGGAGATCCAAATGGGAACCGATGCAAGCGCTTGTCAACTTGTGGAATGGCACGCAAAAGCAACACAAGCAGCAACCAACTCACGAGTGGTTGTTGTTGTGCGCAGATGAAGAACAAGAACAAGAAGAAGCAAAGAAGACAGGCACACGCAACAAAACAACAAAAGAGGGTGGGTGGAACCGATGCAACCTCCTCCTCCTTCTGTGTCGTGGTGGTGGTGGTGGGAGAAGCAAAAAGAAGGGGAAGGAAGGAGGGGGGAAGGAAATACGCCCGCAGCGAGCGGTGACTGCTGCGCTGTGTGAGGTTGCTGCGCTGGTGCGTGCGTGCGTGGTCGCCTGTCACACTTCTCGCACTCGCACACAGTAAGGCAAGTGTCGCGACAACGCGATCGCGGACAATGAAAGCTTCTCACTCATTTCGTCAAGTCAGAGGCGCAGGAGAATTCACGGAAGTTTTCGCAGATTCCCGGACGTGACGTCGCGAGGCCTGAGTCTTGCATAAGGGCATGTCGACGATTATTTATGATTTCAAACAACAGCCGAATTCAAGGTGGACATACGCTCTCAGGCCTCGCAAACACAAAGGTTGGGGAAGTGTTGTCAGTGGCGAACGGCGCTGACGCAAGCAGCAACGGAAAAAGAGACAGTCACAGGAAGCAACAAGAGACAGCGAGACAGCGAGACAGCGAGGGGAACACACACGCACACTTGGCAACGCTAGAGTTATCCACCACCACCACTCTACATACACACATACAGACACACAAATACGCCAAAGTCTACTACACACCTACACACACACATACACGCGCGCGCAGCAACAGCAGCAACAGCAGCAACAGCAGCAACAGCAGCAACAGCAGCAACAGCAGCAACAGCAGCAACAGCAGCAACAGCAGCGCTGCATGCACGACGTGGTCAAGCGTTCACGCGTCTGTGATGCCTGAAGAGTCAAAAGTGGTAGTGGCAGATCTTCCAGTTGTTGGCAATGTCCTCAATGGCGGCCCAGATGCCGAGGCCACAGCCGGCCACGGCAATGAGGATGAGCAGCGAGTTGAAAGCCGCCTTCGCGCCGGAGCTGGTCGCCTTGGTCATCAACGTCCAGAAGATGACCGGCACGAAGAAACTGAGGCTGAAGATGCCCAGGCTGCTGTACACGTTCATCAGGTCCGAGAAGAACGGAATCAGGGCGCCAATCACAAACACAATCCCCATGATGGCCGTGGCCACCACGCCCCACCGCAGCGCAACGCCGGCCCTGGTCACGTGCGGGTTGCGCTCCAGCCCGGGCCAGAACGTCTCAAAGAAGAACTTGGTCACCACCGTGCTGTTGATGCAGTAGGCTACAGCCACGTGGATGAACAGGCACACGTTCACCAGGATCCGCACCCACGTGTCTGGCAGCGTCGCCGTAATGATGCTCGACACGCTCTCCCCATAGATCGAATACCCAAGGAACCTGTGCGTGTGCATGTGTGTGTTTGTTGGGGGTGGGGGTGTGAATGTATATATGCGCGGGTGTGTGTGTGTGTTGGGTGTGTGTGTATGCATATATGCGTGCGTGCGTGTGTGCGTGTGTTTTGGGGGTACGTGAATGTATATACATATATATGTGTGTGCGTGTGCGTGCGTGCGTGCGTGTGCGTGTGTGTGTGTGTGAGGAGAAGAGAAATGGCACATGAGCCAACCAAGGGAGAGGGAGCGAGCGCATGTGCAGATAC